ATTGTGTTGTAGGAACTTAATATCAAAGGAACAAAGATTCATGCTAAGTGCATTACAAGAAATCTGTTTCCTGACTGTCACCAATGGTCAACTGTCTAGGAAAAGCAGATATGTGATGGATCTTACTGTGGCCAAAGAGAGACAAAAAAGACAAGAATAATGCAAAGCCAAGGGGAGAACTCACAAATTCATTTCCAAGGAAGCCTTTTTAAGCTTAATAGCTAATTTCCTCTTTTTCCAGTGCAACCCTATCTACATTTATCAGTGGACACAACCACATTTTCAGAAGGAAATCCCATACAAAGATGCTTTTCAATTGTTATTTTAGTTGAAATAATAGTTTTAGTTCAAATAATAATTATTATTATAGTTGAAATAATAATAGGGTAAGACTTTAGTGTCCTACTTAGAAAGATACCTGAAATAAAAATACAAGTCCTCCTTTAATATGCATTTGTCTTGCAAGTGTCTTCAAAGATATCATGAACCTGTAATTAAAATCCATGAACAATTGACCTGCTTTTCCATAAAAATGCCACACAAGTTGTGCAGGCACTTAACTGCAAGTACAATGACGACCTGGTAATCACATGCACTTTTTCTGTGCATGAATACCTCAGTAAGTTTGAAAAACACAGTTTAGTAGTATTTTGAGCATTATTTGTTATTTTAATTTCTGTGTTAGCAAAGAAGTTATTCTTTTATCTATAATACAAAAATTTACAATATAGTTGCTTAAGTATATTCTGAAAGTTGTCAAATACATTCCAAATGAACAATGTCTGCTTATAATTCAGATTTGAAATCAGAAATGAATAAAAACAGAAAGCTACCTGTGCTGAAAGACACCAGAGCTAGTGATAGCTCCCAGGAAGAAGCAATAGATCAGTGGGCCAGGAGACGGAAACAGTTCAAAGACAGCAAAAAATGCAGTTCAACTGGAGGAAGCTCCATAAACAGCACTATCACTGAAGGATCAAGTAAGTATTTTAGTCTTACAGTTGTATTCCTCTTCCTTCATGTGATTGATGCTGTGTCAGGGCTTTCAGCCAAGGAAAACTATCTTCCATTCATTCAGCTTGAGTTTCTATCTTAGTTATTTTCATAAGCAAGTATGTTTTACCCAGCTGAAGTTTTGTCATCATGGGAGTTAGTACCTTCCTTTTCATTTCATAGGCAACCCGGCTGGGGGCGGAGAGGGGGAGGGAAAAAAAAGAAAAAAAAGTAGATCACTTGTCCATATGCAAAAACCACTGGATGAGCTCTAAACTTGAAAAAGTAATTTCTTATGGAATGCAACTAAAGTCAAAATCCTGTTGCCTGATTTGTATGTGTTAAAGCCATGGTGAGCTGGGAGTCCTTCTTCCTATGATAGCCACGCACTCCATCTTTTATCTTCAGATTTGCTTCCTAGATTGTCCCTTCATATCCAACCTGGGTACTAACAGTACTAACCAACTGGGACACTAATAGTGCCACAACTGTTTCACTAAGAAAAATCTGAATACACTTTATGCTTGAACTTATAACAAATTCAGCATTTTAAATGATATGGTAAGGAATTTTGAAGATAAACAGCTTAATGAATTTATTTGCATGTGGAAGGAGTCCCCAAGAAAGCACTGCACATTCTAAGAAAACTTATTCTGATTCCTAACATTGTGTTTGCCTCCTTTTGTGCTTTTTTAGCTAACTTAAGAAGTACTTTTTGCAGATGGAAAAAAATACACTTTCCACTAGAAATTCTTAATGATAGAAAGTTTACTTTTAATAAGGAAATCACAGAACAATTGAGGTTGGCAGGGACTCCTGGAGACATTTGGTCAAGATACCCATTCAAACAGGTTCACCAAGAGCAGGTTGTCCAGGATCAGGTCCACATAGGTTTTGAAGATCTCCAAAGGTGAAACTCCACACCCTCTATGGGCAACTCATGACAGTGCTGTTCCTGTCACATTAAAAAAGTGTTTCCTAATGTTGAGAGGGAACTTTCTGTGGTTCAGTTTGTGCCCATTGCTTTTTTTCCTGCCAGTGGGTACCACTGAAGAAAGCCTCACTCAGTTCCCTTTACACTGTAACTTCTCTTCAGATATTCACAGACATTGATGAGATCCCCCTAAGCCTTCACTTCACTAAGCTAAAGCAGTTCTGGTTGTCTCGGCCTCCCTACACAGAAGAGATGCTCCAATCCCTTAACCACTTTCATGGTCCTTTTCTGGACTTACTATAATATGTCCAGGTCTCTATTGTTCTGAAGAGTCCAGAACTAGACACAGTACTCCAAATGTGATCTCATGTGCTGAACAGAGAGGACTGACCTGCAGACAAGACTTGGCCCATGGCAGGCCAGGATAGCAACAGCCTTCTTTGCTGCAAAAGCTTCTTTGAAATTCTTCTTGTGGAACTTCATTGAATTCCTATCAGCCCATTTCTCTAGCCTGTCCAAGCCCCTCTGAATGGCATCATGAGTCTCTGATATATCAGCAGCTTCTCCCAATTTAATGTCATCTGATCAAACATTCAGAGCATTTAGTGAAGATGTTGAACAGGAGAGGACCCAATATTGGCCCCTAAGGCCCACTACTAGTTACCTTCAACTAGACAGTGCTCTACTGATCACTAACCACTGAATATAGCCATTCAGACAGTTTTCACAGGACACTACTATGAAGAAATCCCCCAAAGTTTGTCTGGGAATTCAGTTTGCCAAAGTGCCTCTCCTAAGTGCCTGTACACTTATGTATAATAAGATGAGATAGGACCTGTATGCATCTGTAAGACCATGATATTTTGAGGGTCATAGAAATGCAGTGTGTTGGCTCCCATGAGTGAAGTGCTGCGATGGAATGATTCAGGCTTTTTAAGAACAACATGCTCAGAAGATGAGGGTGATAAGTTGTCATTTGTTTAAGACAGCAGCTAGTGTGCATGGAGCCATGCCCTGAGACTGATGAGGATCAAGCTGAGCATTTGAGGGTTAGGATTAAAGAGGTTGCAAGTAAAGCTGGCAAAATGCTGGGTGTCTGCTACAAGCTACGTCAACAGGTAGAACAAGTGAATGAGGCCCTTGATGGACAAACAGAAGCAATCCAACATTTGCAGACCCTGGTTCTCATGGGGAACTTCAACCATTCCAATATCTGTTGGAGGAGCAATACAGCAGGACAAAAGCAATCCAGGAGGTTCTTGGAGTGCAAATATCTAACTCCTCAAAGTGATAGAAAAGACAATGAGAAGAGGTGCTCTGCTGAACCTCATACTCCCACACAATGAAGGGATTGCTGGGAATGTGAAGGTCAAAGGGAGCCTTCTTTGCAGTGACATTGAGGTTGGTGGTGGTTCAGGATCCTGAGGGCAGGAAGTAGGTTGAAAAGATCACAACCCTGGACTTCAGGAGAGCAGACTTTGGCTTCTTCAGAGAACTTCTTGGAAGAATTCTGAGGGATAAATTCCCAGGGGCAAAAAGGAGCCCAACAAAACTTTTTTTGGTTTTCAAGAACAACCTCCAAGCTCAGGAAATAAGCATTGCAATGGAAGTCAGACAAAATTGGCAGGAATCCTGCGTGGATGAACAAGGATCTTCTCTGCCAAACTCAAACACAAAATCATACAGAGGATGCAAGTAACAACAAATGACCTGAGATGAATACAGAGCATCCAGGGATGAAGTTAGGAAAGTGAAAGCCCAAACAGAATTTACGATGGCCAGAGACACTAAAGACAACAAGAAGGGCTTCAGTAACTACATAGGTGACGTACAAAGACCAGGGAAAAATAAGGGTCCACTGCTGAAGAAAAATGAATGACATGGTTACATGGAACATGGAAAATGCTGAGGTGGGGGCTGACTCAGTATTTACTAGCAAGACTGGCCTTCAAAATCTGCAGATCCCAGTGGCCAGGGAAAAGGTTGGAGCAATGAAGATGCAACTTTGGTGGAAGAGGATCATGTCAAAGAACATTAGAGCAAACTGGACACACATAAGTTATTCATAGAATCTTAAAGTTATAGAATATCTTGGTTTGGAAGGTACCTTAAAGATCATAATACAACTCCCTAAAGCCTAGCCATCTACTAGATTAGGTTGCCCAAAGCAACATCCAGCCTGGCCACGAAGATCTCATGGGGTGGGGAATCCACAGCTTCTCTGTTCCCATGCCTTACCACCCTCTGAGTAAAGAATTTCTTCCTAAAATCTAATCTAAATTTCCCCTTTTAGTTTAAAACCATTCCCCCTTGTCCTCTCACTTAATTGTCATATAAAATGCAGAACAAACAAAACCAACAGAGACCACATTAAATCTAGATGCATTATACCAGGTATTTGTACTGAAAGAACTGACTGGTTTTGGTCTTCCAGTTCAAATTCCCAGGTTGCTTGGGAAGTTCTTATATCAATGTGCAGCCCTTTTCTCCAAATTATTAAACTGAAAATACTCATGACAGTGTGCATAACTTCAGATAAATGTTTAACAGCCTGGGACTAGACAGAATATTGATGTTCAAAAAAAGACTCATCTTTTCTCACCTCCTTTTTAATAAAGCTAAATACATCTGGAAGAGTTAAGGTTAAGAAAACAACAAATGAAGGAATTCTTACCCAAATCAACTACTTTTTAGCTTCTTGTCTTCCCATGTGCGCTGAACTTACATTAAATTCCAGAAGAAAAATCTTGTTTAGTTTCACAATCAAATGGAACAAATAAGAAAACCTAGGAAGTGGGCTAAATGCAGATTCCCTTTATGCAGCTGCAGCTCCTGTTTATTATCATTTGCCCTTGGTAATCAAGTTCAATATACAATAATATCCAATACTTTTATATTCTGATATCTTTGCTTGCTGCTCCTTTAACAACAGAGAAATTGTATAACTAACCAAAGACATTAGAAATACAGAATCCCACCATATTTCTTGATTGCTTTTTGACTGAAATATTTTATTCTTTATGCATTTTGACTACTAACATTACTTCTATTTGTTTTATACTCATGACAGTAAATTCAGAGGATGCTCGGTCAGTAGATCTGGGACTACATTCTGAAAATGATGACAGAGGTTTCTATACAGAAAACTTTCATTCTGCTGCATGGGTTTTCAGAGGAGATGATGTGTCTCCAGATAATAGCCCTAGATGTCTCAGCAAAAGACCTAGACCAGTGGCAAGTAAGTTGTCTAAAGCAACAGGCAATAAATGTAAAAATTGATGTGATTTGTGCACTCTGAGGTTAATGTAAGGATAACAGCTGGATGCTGGATGCTTATAAGGAAGATGGAAACTAGGGGAACACAAGAAGCTAGAAGGGGACACAAAACTAAATAATAGCTCTTATTTAGATACTGTATTGCAACATTTCAGGATTACTTGACAAAATTGATACTGGTAATAAGCAAAACTAAACATCATCTCTTGCTACAAGGTAAGTATAAAAGTATGTAATGGTCATAAAATCTGTTTGTCATTAAATTTTCAAACAGCCTAGAAAGAAATGTATTGAGATTTTTACAGATGTGAAGGACCATACCTGTTCTATTTGCAATTTAAACCCAGTCATGCAAATAGATATTGTGAATAATTCTGTGGGGCATTAGGGCATTTTCCTTCACTTTTCAAATATTGAATTACTGAAAGGTAGTGTAATCCAGAGATCAACACTCGTCTTTTCATGAGATAGTCCTTTGTTGGAAATAATAAATCATCCTCAACATGAGAGAAAACAAATGCCTCCTATAAATCTCCAGACATGAAAAAAAATTCCATAGATTGTTTAGGAATATACTGGAGAATATTTTGATTGCCTTTAGTCCCAATGGAGAGCCCAGAAGTTCGAAACAATACTTACAGTATATGTTGAAGTATCTGTGTTCTTTCAGATACGTAAGATCAACTGGCCAGCTAGTAAATTAACCTTCAAAGTAGTTATATCTTACAAACATTACACAAGTTGAAGATGAAACAAACATCTGTCACAGAGTTAACTAGATCAATCTATGCCCATGACAGGGGGTAGTAGGCCCCTGGGCCCACCCAGCCCCACAAAATGGGAAGGGAAAGGGGAAAGGCATAGGGAGATGGGAGCTGGGTTCAACAAAGGAAAAGAAACAGCGGCAACAATCTATGGAGGAAAATTTATTTTACTAACTATGATGTCGAAATGCAAGATAGCACAATATAATATAATATAATTGAAATTGAGACTAATAAATCAAATAAGATAGGAGAGAGATTTCCTGAGACCAAGTCAAACCTGAAAAGCTTGGAACGGCTATGAAATCACCCTCCAGCACCCACCGCAAGGCAGTAAGAGTCCGCCCCACCTGGAAGGGCCAGATCCTACGATTTCCATAATGTATAGGTACCTGGAATTGGAGCACTAACACTTTAACTCCCAGTGCACTACATGATGTTATGCTGTGAAATACTGAAAAAGACACAAAACAATGACAACCATCAAAACCATCATAACTTATTATTAAATTGTCCTCCATTAAATAAACCCGCTAAAGCATTCAAATGATCAAAAGAGAATTGAAATTTATATAGAAGCGTTTCATCACTATGACATTTACTAACAAGTCAAACAATTTAAGATGTACTACTAATAGTAGACAACAGGAAAAAGTTGAACCATTAAGCAGAAAATTAAACCCTGATCTCCCTTTTCATTGAAGATGATTCTGTCTTCATTTTTGCTCATTTCATATGTGTACAGCCATTGATGGTAGAGTGAAAAAATTAAGATTAGTACTAAGGGGCAGTGAGAGTAGAGTACAAACGGAGAAGAGTAGGTGAAAGAAAAGTAAACAACTGATAACCAAAAGATACTGACCTTCTTAAATGGAAAAAGAGTGATCCTACAATAAATAGATTTGAAAATTTATATTGTATTTTTTGTTTGCGGATTAGAAGTCTGACACATTCATTTAACAAAGAGCAAGAGTATTTTTCTCTCCCAAGTTGTGGTCAGTGGAGTGGAACATGTGACGGCTTCTCTTCATCTTAAGTACTAAGCCCAGCCACATGACTTCAACTTTCAGATGAAAGCAGATTTTATCTGTGCTGTTTGTCTTTGCCTTAAGTTGTATTGTATTCTATTTGTCATGGTGTGAAGAAGTATAGACTGGCAGAGAAGCAGTACCAAACAGCTAGGAGTGATGCCAAGTCATCCGGGTCACTTGCAGAATCAGTAACTTTTAGTGCCCAAGTTTTTAAAATGGGCTGCTGGTATTTAAATTGAACTTGATTTGCAGAGAAAAAGGGATCTCTTTTTCCAATTTCTGCAGTTCGTGAAAGAACAGTGAAGATTGCTAAAGGAACTGGAAATTACCCTTGGGGATTCCGGATCCAGTTCTCAAAGCCTATTCTTGTGACTGAAGTTGACACAAGTAAGTTGTGCTTATACCAGTTAAATTCTGCTACAGAAATACATCTATATTTAAGGATATAATATTTATAGTATTGCAGTATACATAAATGAAAGCATTTGTTGTATAACAGTGCATTGTACATATGTATGTAAATTATTTCCATAATAGGTGAATGTAAGGTGTTTAATACAACATACTCGAACAAGACATGACACACTATCTTAAGAGACCCAGTTTGTCTACAGGTAAATAGGACTATACTATTTCTTGACATTCAGTGCCAGTTTATACCTCATACAAGTGTCTGCACCTAACCTCTCTCAAGACCAATCTACAACATTTTGGGGCTGACATCTTTTTAATGACAACTGACCCTTTAGAATAAATCACAGTAACCCTCCTAACACTTTCAAAAGTATCAATAGCTGGGGACAGTTATGCATGGATGGATTTCTAATAAGTCAACTACAAACCTTGACAAGGTGGCATGTAAAGCTCTGTACTGTTGTCAGGTTGTGGTAAGGAACTCCAGAAAGAGCTCAGAAAACTGTGAATGAACAAAAGAGTGGCAAATGAGTTTTAACAAAGATAAATATCCCTAGATAGGAATGATGCAGAACATAACATTGGCAGTTACACTCAAGATTGAGATCGTGGAACTCACCACTGCAAGATCTCTGAAATCTTCAGCTCTGTGTGTAAATGCAGTTCAGAAAGAAAACTGAATGTTGCTCCCATCTGTAACAGTGAGAATAAAAGACAAGGCCTCGTATCGCTGCTATACCCTTGATTCACTCTGGAGTACTGTTTGCTCTGCTGCTCTCTGCACCTCAGGATGGATAAAGTAGAGTTGAAGAAGGAGTAGAAAGCATAGGAGATTCTGAGAATTTCTACAACCAAAAATGCCCTCTAGCAAGTCAGATACCTACTAACAGCTCTGCTACTTCGCGTGCTGTCCAGCTTCCTGGCCATGATGGAAGAATATCAGAGGCCTATGAAAACACTAGCTTAACATGCAAAAACTTAATCCTGAGCTATTAAATTTCAGTAGAGAAAATCAGAGAAGTCAAAAGTCTAAGCAAGGGAACTTAGGGAACTTAGTCTTAGCAAGGGAACATGTAGAGAGAAAAAAAAAAAAGACATTTGAAAAGGCCAGTATGTTACTAACACTTAACAATTTTTAAGATATGTGTTAGAAACCTATGCACTCCCTTAAGATCTGAACATTGTTATATTTATACCCTAACCATGTATTGTGCAGGATATTCCTGCTCAGTTCTAAAAGTCATTCCAACTTCTTCACTGTTCCACTTATTAAATACTAAAAATTCAGTCTTCAGTCCAGAGGAGAACTCATGAAGGACAAATCAATTAAAATTTAAAAGTGAAAAAAAAAAAAGGAAAAGAAAAAGAAAAAGAAAAGAAAGAAAAAAGAAAAAGGAAATTCAGGAAGTGGTTCTCTTACTTTCTATATGGTTGTTTTTTGTATGTCTATTTTTTGCATAGGAATCTCTTAATCTTTTACTGCAACCTACATGAAAATAAATAGGATTTTGCCAACATATCCTAGAGACCATTCTCTTTTTATTTGTATGAATGCAATCATTAGTTTCCATTATCAGTTGAAGTCCTGCAAAAAACATAAATCTGAAAAAAAAAAATCTCTGCCTACAGAATACTATGCAAAAGACATACTGAGATTAAATAGTGACTATGTTTCATCCTGAAACAAGTACTTCATTTTATTCCGGTATAATTTTTTGAATTATTTTAGTTTATAGCTTTTAAAACTACATGATCTTGAAAAATGAAAGATGATTAACCATGGTGTTGAAAAAGTAATTCTTCAGCTCCAATACCTACCAAATTAACCCTATAAACTACTAATTACAGAATCACAGAATCACAGAATCACAGAATTGTAGGGGTTGGAAGGGACCTCCAGAGATCATCGGGTCCAACCCCCCTGCCAAAGCAGGTTCCCTACAGCAGGTCACACAGGTAGGCATCCAGGCAGGTCTTGAACATCTCCAGAGAAGGAGACTCCACCACCTCCCTGGGCAGCCTGTTCCAGTGCTCCGTCACCTCACTGTAAAGAAGTTCTTGCGCATGTTTGTGCGGAACTTCCTATGCTGCAGTTTCCAGCCGTTTCCCCTTGTCCTGTCTCCACACACCACTGAAAAGAGTCCGGCCTCGCCATTCTGCCCCCCACACCTTAGATATTTATAGACCTGGAAATTAAAAGTTAAAATTAGACATAGCAAAACAGGTAATCATGTTTCATATCATTCCTATTAAGTTTATTTTCATGTTTTGTCTTCACATGAGGTTGCATTTAAATATAATGAAGTCATTTTTACAGACAAATTTTAGTACATTTGTGTATTCTCAATATATTATACATTTCATTAAAACAGTCATAAAACTTTCATCTATATTCCTTTTTGTTTTTATATTAAAGTAAGAATATTTTTATAATATTTTAAAGATAATTCATAACCATAAAGTCTTGCATGCGATCCTCAAGGCCAGCAGAAACCAGAATGTCTGATCTGCAAATTATTTGTATCACATGAGAGTGAACCACAGCTTCTTTGTGCCTACTGTTCCTTATTGAGCTTTTGCTAATTGTTCCCCACAACTTCTAAGCATCCTCAGAAAGACACTGAACAATCACATCTACTGCACAACAGGGTACATAAACTTTTTTAAAAAGTAATAATTAGCTAACATAGATAAACAATATTTTCCAAAGAAGTTTTGCTTTTTTTTTTTTTTTTTCTTCATAAAACATTAGGAATCTTTAGGAATTTCAGCACAGAAAGAAATCTTGGGTTATTTCTTGGTCTTAAATCCAAAGCTGACTTGAATAAGGGATGTTTTTTCCACTGATTTCACAGAGCAATGCTTTGTTTGCAGTTTAGAGCAAATCCTTCCGATATTAAAATGCCTTTTTGCCTCTAAAAGCATCTGTATCCTAATGGAATTTTTAAAGGAAATCTCTCCTCTGTCAGTCATTTTTTAGTTCTGGATCCATACCTAAATCCTGAAGTTTCATTTACAGACCACCAGCATGTTGCTCAGGAAAACATACTTACCTCCAAATTAAGTCACGAGGGCCACTAGGCATAATTCTTGACTGGTTTCACAGATACTGTTTTGCTATAAAAGACTGATTGCATGCTTCATATATTAAGTCTAAATAAAATACTTTTTTTTTACTCCAGACAGTGCAGCTGAAGAAGCAGGGCTCCAAGTTGGGGATATTCTGATAGCAGTCAACGGAACTGATGTCACTAGCATGCCACATTCAGAAGCTGCCAATCTGGCAAGGAAAGGTGAGTTTGGGATCATTGTAAATAACATTATCTAAGACTCTTATTTATCTAGACCTTGCTAAGAATACAACAGAAGATGGGCATACTGACAAAATATTCCCCAAAGAGTGCATTTGGCAGTAACGTTTTCAGTTCTCCTGCCTAAGAGAAGGTGACTGAGAAAGTCCTGACTGCAGAGATACTGATACTCTATTTATGCCTTATGCTCCCTCAGGGGGAGAACTCACAGCTTGGTTCAATGGTATTTCAGTAACTTACACCTGTAGACAATCAGGAGTTATTTCATTGAGGCATTTTTTTTGTTTTGGAACATCAAAGAAACAAAGTTTCAGTGATATTGAACTTGTATATTCTTCTTCAAGCTCAGTTGACAAAGCCCAGAGATAGTCACATTTGAATGCTGGAAGTAAGTACACTGTACTTCTTTTACTTATCCCAGATATGGTGTTGACAAGGCTCTTGGGAAATTCAATACATTAAAATGCTTTTACAAGACAGGGACAAATTTATCTTGACACATACCAAGTTCTTTAATTCTAGAAGTGCCATTCATGCTGTTACATTTAAGAAGAACCTGTTAAGTCTTTCTATAGATAAATCTCTAATTACATGGCATTTTTAACTCCTTCAAGAGAAACCCCCTGGCCTGAATCTTGGCACACATGCAGCATTTCCTAAGTCAAATGTCCCCAAAAGATAAGTCCAGCAAATATTTGGCAAATGAAAATATGTCATAGTCACAGTTCTCAAAGCTTTTTAATGCATTGAAGCATTTCTAAAGTAGTATCTGATACAGTCAGAATTTCAGGCCTCTAGGGTAAAAGCCATAGCTGTGTTGATAGTATCAGCTAATATGATAAAATGGTACCACACTGCTGATAACAGTACCACATTTTCAGACAACTTTGTTGGACCTATCATCTCTCTTGAGCACTTACCTTCTCCAGCTGATAAGTGGACAGATTAACACAAGTTAATCTCCAACAGCTAGCCTCCTTACAGTGGTGCACAGATAGCAGAAATGGACTCTAGGGCATTGAAGAGTAAGAATACTCAAGAATTCTCAGATCATCAGTAATTTTTTAATAAACTTCAAATTATGCCCACACACTTGGGTAATGAAATCCAGCCACTCCTCTAAACTAATTAAATACGCAAGTGCCTAAACTGGACTTGTAAAAAATCATTTCTGGAAGTGTCTTTGAATAGCTGGTTCTGTTACTAGTCCTCTAGACAAAATGAGTTAAATTCCTGGATTTCTACAAAAGGAAAATGAAATGTTGGAATGATTTAATTTCCTTCATAGGTTGCTCTACTCTTTGCTTCTTCTAAAAGCTACACCAGGAGAAGAAGGGCAAGAGGTAGAATACTCCTTTCTGCTCTATATCCCGTAGGGAAATTCAAACATACTGTTACCTTTGTTTTCACATTTTTCATGTAATATTCTAGGCCCTGATATCCTAACTATGGTGGTGGGATCAGATATCAGCCGTTACCCTAACACTCCCAGGCCTACCTGCCGAGGATATTTGCACAAACGAACACAATCAGCAATATTGAAGGGATGGAGGAAGAGGTGGTTTGTGCTGAAGCATAATGGTTATCTCCACTATTACAAACACAAGAAGGTAAGGAGATGGGCTGGTGACAGAGGAAGCTGTACTCTGAACTATAAAGCACATCAGCATTGTACTCAGATTTACAGCCAGTTATCTTGACTTGTAATATTTACCAATATTTAATATCAGCAGTAGCAATGTTTTTGTATATGGCTTATAGAGCAGGTTGTTTGACTAGTTCTGTCTTCTCTTACCCTACTTAGAGACATACACACAAACTCTTAGGATTTTGTGGATTTATATTTAGTCTCACAGCTGCGATTCTCAAAATCTACTATTGAGTTTTGGCATAATTTGCTATCTTCCAGATATACAGTGAGTCTTAATGCCCTAAATCATTTTCTCCTGTTATGTCATATACAAACACTTGAACATTCTACCTAGTTTTTCATCAGTGAGGGAAAAAGGAAAGGAGAAGGAAGGGGAGGGGCGAGGAGGGAAGGGGAGGAGAGGAAAACGAAATATTCAAAAGAACACAGAACAAAACAAAACAACAACAAAAAAAGAAGCTGTTTCCCTTAGGAGTGTTTACCACTAGGGGCTTCGCCAGGCTTTCAAGCAGCGGCTGGACAGCTCCAGGGCTGCAGCTATCGCTTGCAGCCGGCGTCCAGCAGGTGGGGGGCTCGGATCGCGCACAGGTGCTGCTCGGCAGTGCGTACTGCCGTTCGTGAGGGGCTTAGCAGGCCCACGTGTAGGTACAGTTCCAGTTCCTAATCCGTTCCCTTGTGCTGCTTTGTGGTGAATTTACTCATCGAGAAAGTTACATCGATACAACTAAATAAATTGGTTTCAAAGCCGGTGTTCTATTTATGTGTAAGGCCCTTTAGAGCTTGTAAAAATGGTTCAAGATTATTATATTATTGGGAATTAATTCTAAATTAGTTTTGAGAAAATTTGGTGAAGCTGAGAAAATCTGCTCTAGTAAGGAATTTATTATCAGATGAAGCCCAAGTAACATCCAGAAAATCTCCTACTGAAATGGAAGGACATCTCCTGATTAGAAACTGCTAGAAAGATAATTGTCTCCAACAATTTGAAAAGATCTGTAAAGCACACTGACAGAATCACAGAAACACAGAAACACAGAATCACAGAATCACACAATCGTAGGGGTTGGAAGGGTCCTCCAGAGATCATCGAGTCCAACCTCCCTGCCAAAGCAGGTTCCCTACACCAGGTCGCACAGGTAGGCATCCAGGCAGGTCTTGAACATCTCCAGAGAAGGAGACTCCAAACCCCCCTGGGCAGCCTGTTCCAGTGCTCCGTCACCTCACTGTAAAGAAGTTCTTGCGCACATTTGTGCGGAACTTCCTATGCTGCAGTTTCCAGCCGTTCCCCCTTGTACTGTCTCCACACACTGCTGAAAAGAGTCTGGCCTCACCACCCTGCCCTCCACACCTTAGATGTTTATAGACCTGGATCAGGTCCCCTCTCAGTCTTCTTTTCTCAAGGCTGAACAGACCCAGTTCACTCAGCCTTTCCTCATAGGAGAGATGCTCCAGGCCTTCACCATCTTCGTGGCCCTCCGCTGGACTCTTTCCAAGAGATCCCTGTCTTTTTTGTACTGGGAGCCCATAACTGGACTCAGTACTCCAGATGAGGCCTTACCAGGGCAGAATAGAGGGGGAAGATCACCTCCTGATCATAAATCTACCTTTACATTATTTTTTTTTTTTTCTCATATATCATCCTTCTCTAAGTCACCTGTGTATTTCATTTTGCTGCTTATATATCTGTGTATATATGAGTCTTTTTAGTCCATTTTATATGCTTACTAGAGCCAATCCTATAAAATTCTAACTGGAAATATTTTCCCTCTTAGTAAAAACCTAGGCACAAAATTATTTTTTACCTGAAAGATGCTGATGCAAAGCTTCCGAAGGCCTGTGCTTTGAAGACTTAATGAGAAAAATCCTTCTCTTGTTCAGGATCTCTGCTCACCCCCTTCTTTCCCCTAATGAATTCTGGTCTCTTAGTGATTCTAAGCATAGATTTTCATGGGCAGTACCACTAAGATGAAGAAAAGGATTCACGTGATGCTGTGCAGCTTCATAACCAAACTGAAATTATACAGGCTTTCAGATGTTTAAGCTTCTTGATCAAAACCAGTCGCTTCTGTGGATAAAAATCATTTTGTGAAAAGTAATTAAAAATTACAGAAAGAGATTTTTCTTCTGCAGATCTTTATCCACTTGACATTTTCAGCACAGAGTCTGGTAGGTTTTGTTTTTTTTTTCTGCATATGCCATAATATGAGTAGTAGCTATCTAACCCAGGTTGTGCTGCAGAATCCCTCTATATTACAACATAATCTGGCTTTCAGTCATTGTTATTTCAACATTAACTATTCTGGTATTAAACATACAACCAAACAAACAAAAAATTGTACACTGAAAAGGATACAAACATTTAGGAACACTTGTTTGAGGAAATTCCTGAGATGTAAAAAAGAATCTAGTTATGCCTTTTAAATACTCGCCACTTCTCAATCAATTAATTACTTCCGAAGACAGTGAACATAATATAAATTGGATTAAGGATTATAAGGTACCTCATAATCTTATACTCATTTGTATTTAATTACATTTTCATTTTATTTCTTTCAACTAACACATTTCTTTCTAAGCCTACTTTTCTTTCTTTTTTTTCTTATAACCCAGCAATCCTTGTCTTGAACTTTGAAATAATAGCATTGAAAAAATAGCTAGATAATCCCAATGTCATGTCTTGATAGTGGGCTTTTTAACATTGAAAGCACGCTAAAAAGCTTTTTGCTTAAAAAGGATAAATAAATTTAAAGCACCACATAAATATATCATCATAATTACCATGTATTTTCTTGCATTATGAAAGACTAGTGCCATTCAAACACCTTTTGAATTATTTCATGCTATTACTTTAGTCAGCTGCTCTCGCTCTCTCTTCAGATGCCACAGAATACACTGAAATAAGCTCCTGAAAGCATGAGGACTTTCTTTCCTCACAAAGGACTCCAAAAAGGCCTTTAGTAAGAGAGAAAGAAAGGTGCTTATATATAAATGCATTTCTTCGCTACTGAGAGATTCAATGCTCCATGAGTCAAGGAAGCTCAAATGGATTCTTTAGCATCTTTCCTTTCTTTTGGTGTGATTTCTGTCTGGATATAAGAAGAGCAACATGTGCAGATGCTGCTCATTCCATGGCTTTTCTAAGAAAATTACAAATAATGTTCTTGGTGTAACATATTTATGTAACATGTCAGCTATGCAATTATATTAGAAACAATATGTTCTAGGCCTTACCTCAGGAGATAAATGTTTCTACTTAGTGGATATATGGTGTTCTTTAAAATAGTGCACTGAGGGCAAGAAT